CTTCACGTTCCCTGCGAAGGAAAGACATGGAGTGAGTGGCATGGGAGGAAGGAGAGAAAGGAGGGAGGGAGGGAGGGAGGGGCAGGTACCGGTGCTGGCGGTCCATCTCTTCCAATTGGGCAAGGTCGATCTTGTAGCCCTCCGGCAGGAAAGTGTTGAACCCCTGAGGAGCGTTGTGAAGGGGAAAGGAGGGTGCGGAGAGGGGTAGAAAGAGAGTTGGGTGGGCTTAGGACGACAAAAACTTGGCAGAAAAACAGGAGAGGGGGGAAGGGAGGGAGGGAAAGAGAGAGGGAGGGAGGGAGGGAGGGAGGGAGGGAGGACGTACGAGGATCAGTTTGTTGTAACCGCGGAAGAGGGTTGACACTCGCTGGATCACTCCTGGGGTGTCGATCTCCTGTGCGCCCGGCGCAGTCAAGGCGAACACACGGAAGACAACGACGTGAGAGGGGTTGGTTCATGGGTGCCTCATGCGCACCCGGAACGGGCGGCACGGGCGCAAGCACGCGCCGTGACTCCGGAGACATCGCGAAGTGGGGGGGGCTCTTCCGCAGGGATTTTGCGAATGTTTTTCATTTCTGAGGTTACACCCGATTTCTGCAATTTTCCTTCACGCCACGCCCTCTCTGCCTACCTGAGCCTTGAAATTCTTCATGATATCCAGGAATTCATTGTAGATTTCGGGCTTTTCACTAAACTCAATCTTGACCTGGTCCAGGTACAGGAGGGCGTCACCTACGGACAGTGCCTGGTTGTCGGTAGCGGAGGAAAGGTGAGCAAAGTGAAGGAAACGCGGGCATTGGCCTCTCAAGGGCGCCGAGGGAGTGAATTTGGGACTCAACACGTCCTTCTCGTCATGCTCGACAGTAAAAAAGGCTTCTAAGAAACCACGTGCAAGGCTTTCGCGTAAGAGGGCCAACCGTTTTATGTGCACTACGCCTTCCTTCGCTTTCATTCCATGACCCTCGTCTTCAATCACCACGGTCATTCACTCAGAGCCTTTGAGACGCTTACCTGCATCTTCTCCAAATACCCGCGCAGCACACCAATTCCTTATTCTACTCGTGTCAAGCTGTTGGAATGCTGTCCAGCTGTACTCTTGTCGTCGTAGGGATTGATACGCGACAAGAATAAAGTGACCAAAGTGAAGGTGAAGCCTTGTTGGGGTGAGAGGTTCTTCTCCTCCGCGCGCCGTTAATGCGTTTCTAGACCGCGACTGTCTACTTACCCCTGTGAACGGCTCCAAATTTCAACACGTAGGGTCTGTGTGCATTTGTTTAGATTGTACCATATTGCTATGTGAGATCATAGTGAGTTTCAGTGGTGCCAGAGCCTAAGAAGAGAGGAGGAGGCTGTACACCTCCAAGCTTGTTTTTTCTTCAGGCTCGCCTCTCTCTCCACACATTTGAAGAAGGGGAGGCATCAGCCTGCAAACTTCTCACACCCACAGTGTCCCGCGCCCCAAAAACCACCTCCGACCGCACCCTTCGCACGCACGAAAGACTGTGGTCGTTGCGGCGTGACACAAAGGAATGTGTGCTGGTGCCGAAGCGGGGTGGTATTCTCAAAATCACAGACCTGTGCGCGGGACTCTGTGGTCGATACGTTACGATTTGAAATCAAATGCAAAAAGACCCAATGTGGGAAATGGACACAGCCAAAAGCGAGGCAGCGCAATGTTGATGTCCCATGGTTCCTCTGATTTTGGAACAAATGTGAACACTGAAACCTTTTCGCAATCATACTCACCATGCTTTTGACTGCATGGCATGAAGAGGAAAAGAAAACCGAGAGAAGTACAGGAATGGACCATCTCTAGTAGGTTGCGTGCCGATCTGCCATTCCATTTATCGACACTTCGATGCAGCACCATACTTTTTCCACGTCCAAGGCACATCGAATGGAAGCATTTAGCGTATCAAATCACGTTCAAGATAGGTTTGATATTAGTGCTGTGGCTTTTCTCGGTACTTCCTGCTTGGCGCAGAGAAAGTTGCTCAGAAATGATTCGGACTTCGACGTGCGCATTCATTCAATAATGAGATGTCCTTTAGTCCTCTACGCGTAGCCTCAATGTGAAGAACATAAGAATAACGATCAAGGCTGGTGATGACTCCCGTGGCTGGTGTCTGCCGGGACAGGTCAAGAAGAGGGAGGAGGGAAGGAGGAAGACGAGAAGGGAGGGAGGGAGGAAGGGAGGGAGGGAGGAAGGGAGTGAGGGAGGGAAAGAGGGAGGATGAACGTACCTGGGAGAAGTCGATCTCAGAGAGCGGCATGCTGTACCACATGTCATTCTGCACGCTGTCCGTGGCGCCCCGCGCGTTCAGGATGAGCTTAAATTCGTCGTACATGTCTGTGTGCCTCCCAAACACT